ACAGACAGGACAGATAGATTTACAAAAAATTTATTTTTTTAGCTACACAGGGCCTGATCAGTACATATTGTTCACAGTTCTGAAAAGAAATTGTGATTTTATCAAGTTGTCTGGGGGCCTTGGCTGCCACCGACAATTATTTTACTGCTATTTATTTTTATAGATTAATAGCTTTTGCCTGTATAATGTCAGGCAACAGTGAATAGTGAGCTTCTTTCAATGCCCAACAGTTCAGTTGCTTCTTTTATTCAACCATCAGTCCAAAACCCACATGCATATCTAATTTACTGGCATATATGACAAATAAATCCTTACATGTGTGCAGTTGGAAATGTGGCTGTTTTGCTTGAAAAATAACAATGGTTCATTGACTATAAGTACAGTTAACAATGAATTGATTAATTTATTGATTAATTCCAGAGATATTTCAGAAATCAGTCCAACCACAGATTTCTGCCTACAGTATATTGTTTATAATATTGGTTTAGACAACAATTAACAATTCATTTAATAAAATTGTATTTTTCTATTTGTGATAGGAAAAAGTCCCACAAAATGATGACTGTCGTAGTGTGGTAATAAATGTCAAGCATTATTAGGTTTTCTCTGCATTATTCTTACAATTGGCCCATTATTAAATGTTGTAAGGCACACTGTGTTAGATGTGTTTATGTGCAGTACTAGTAAACTACACCACTGTACATTTAAATTAGATTAGATTAGATTCAACTTTGTCATTACCCATGTACAAGTACAAGGCAACTACATACAGTTTAGCCTCTAATTTACATGTAAAAGAAGAGGAAATGTAGTTGCCCTAACAGTATTTATGTTTTAATGGCAGCTTCCCAGGTTGGATTATACTGTGTTGTGCAGAGAATGAAGCTGACATGCTTCAGCTTCTTGTCAGCTTTTATTGACTAAACACCATCAGCATATGCCAACAACAGCCCATTTTATTCAGTGTTTATTGTCATATTCACAGTATGGAAACGTGTTTTCCTGCACAATGAAATTCTTATTTTGCTGTCCACCCTGAATGCCAAACAACACAAGTGAAATATAAAGTGGATAAACAATAGCACAAAGACTAAACAGTCTTACTTTGCCTTCCACGCTGAGTGCCAAACAGCACAAGTAAAATATAAAGTACAGTGGCAAGAAAAAGTATGTGAACCTTTTGGAATTTCATGGTTTTCTGCATCAATTTGTCATAAAATATGGTCTGATCTTCATCTAAGTCAAGAGTACTGACAAATATAATGTGCCTACAAAAGCAACACAAAACAATTCTGCTCTTTTCATGTCTTTATTGAAGACACTCATTCAACATTCAAAATGGTAGTGGAAAAAGTAAGTGAACCCCTGGAATTAATAACTGGTTGACCCCCCCATTGGCAGCAATAACTTCAACCAGGAGCTTCCTCTAGCTGTGGATCAGACCTGCACATCGTTCAGGAGGAATTTTAGCCCATTCTTCCTGTAGACAGCAATGTTCTTTTTAGTAAGCAGCAGCTTCCTTTGTGGTGTCCTGCCATAGACACCCTGCTTGTTCAATGTTTTACATACTGCAGACTCATGAACATAGATGTTATCCAGTTCCAATGATGCCTTCAAATCCTTGGCTGTCACTCGAGGTTGTTTCTTTACCTCATTGATGAGTCTTCATTATGCTCTTGGGGTCATTTTGACTGGGCACCCACTTCTTGGTAGAGTAGCCACAGTCCCAAAGTGTCTCCATTTGTAGATCGTTTGCCTAACTGTAGACTGGTGAATTTCTAACATCTTTGAAATCACTTTATAACCATTTCCAACTTTATGTAAATCAACAATTCTTGATCATAGATCTTCTGAAAGCTCTTTTTGGCGAGGCATGGCTCACATAAGCATATGCTTCTTGTGTGGGGCAAACTCAAAAGGTTTGAATGGTTTTTATCTGTCAAAGTAGCTCTCGTCCAGATTCATTTTCTTAACAAGACTCCAGGTATGCTAACACCTGACTCCAATTAGCTTTTTTTGAGGTCATTAACTCACTCATTAATTCACTTACTTTTTCCACTAGCACTATGAGGTTTTTATGATTGTTCTCAATAAAGACATGGAAGATCAGAATTTTTAATGTTGTTATATTAGGCACATTATATTCATCAGTACGCTTGACTTAGATGAAGATCAGATCACATTTTATGATAAATGAATGCAGAAAACCATGAAATTCCAAAAGATTCACATACTTTTTCTTGCCACTGTAGATAAACAGTAGCACAGAGTTTAAAGACACTTTAAACAGTGAGTGAGAAGAAATATAATAACTAGTATATAACAATATAATGAAAAACACACCAGGAGATAATGTATGCTACATCGAGGCTGTATGTGCAATAGTCAGCAGTGGGTGTGCAACTATGCATGAGCAACTGAGCATGTAAACAGTACAGGTGCAATTACATGAAGTAATCCCTGAATGTAAACCCCTGTCAGCTATTTAGGAGTCTGATGGAAGTTGGAAAGAAAGGGTTTTTCAGTCTAGAGGTCCTGCATTTCACAATTCTGAGCCTCCGACTGGAGGGCAGAAGTACAAACAGTCTGTGCTGGGGGTGGGTGGGATCTTTGAGGATGGAGGCAGCCTTCCTACACACCCTGCGGTGGTAAATGCTCTGCAGAGAGGGCAGTGGAATCCTGGTGATGTTCTCCACAGTCTTTACCAGCGTCTGCAGGCGTTTGTGGTCTATAGCAGTAGTGCTGCCATACCAGACAGTGATGGTCAAGATGCTCCCTCGACGATGCAGCTGGTCAAGATGCTCTTGACAATGCAGCTGTAGAAGTTGCAAAGGATCCTAGGTGACATGCCAAACTTCAGCCTCCTCTGGAAATACAGCTGCCGTTGGGCCTTCTTGACCAGCTGTGTGGTGTTAAGTGTCCAGGTGAAGTCCTCACTGATGTGGACGCCCAGGTATTTGAAGCTGCTCTCCCTCTCCACTTCGAGCCCCTGAATGAACAGTGGCTGATGAGATCTCCTCTCCTTCTTCATGTCCACTATCATCCCCTTCGTCTTGTCCATGTTGCGGGTGAGGTTATTGTCCTCGCACCATGACACCAGACCGGCCACCTCCCTCCTGTAGGCTGCTTTGTCCCCGCCAGTGATGCGACCTATCACTGAGGTACATAGTGAGGCTGTTAGGGTTGCCTTGTGATATGAAACACCAGCCTCATTCCTCTCCTGATATATATTACTACAATGTCATTCCCTTAAAATAATTACTGCATTATAAGAGTGACAGCAGCAGCACTGGGTGACAGCTCCCCTTCTTCTCCAAACCTTTTTGGGAGGTCATTTTATGATTCAGCAGAGCGGTCATCTTGCTTTTTCCCAAACACATAAAGCAAAGATAAGCACTCATGTCCCACTTTACTCCTGCTTGGTCTATTAAAATGATTGACTCAGTTTTTTGTTGTGTTTTTTTCTCATGGTGAAGCATGCCGATGACTACATTTTAGCTCATCATCTCTTTATTTTTCATCTCCTGATTCTCATTCTCTTTTTTTTTTGTTTTCCTTCATTGCAGTTGTGATATACATATGTGTGCCTGGTGTCTTACACTAGCGGAATAACCTCTCAGGAGAATGAATGCAGAGGAAGTGGAGCTGCTCAGTGACTCTAAGTACAGGAACTATGTGGCAGCCGTGGACAAAGCCCTCAAGAACTTTGAGTACTCCAGTGAGTGGGCCGACCTCATCTCTGCACTGGGTAAACTCAGCAAGGTGAGGATCAGACAAGCCACAGCTCAGCTTACGTGTTGTACAGAAGGCAAAGATGTATACACACGACATACATATACAGTACATAGTGACTTGAATACATTTTTTCAAATCATATTAATGCCATTGGTTTCAAATTATTAGTTAGCATAGCAGCTGATTTATTATATTCACCAAATGCTGATTTTATTGGCATTTGATGCTCATAGGTTCATTCTCATTGCATAATTTTAAAGTAGAAAAAAACCTCACATAAGTATTGAGTAAATCTACATATTATGAGTGGAGCACCTGAAAACAATTTATTTCAAAATGTTTCCTCCTGAATGAATGACACAGATTAACACTGTGATTGTCATTGTGTCTGCATGCCCTTTATTAACCAGCTTTTGCATCTTGTTGCAGGTTTTGCAGAATAATGCAAAATACCAAGTGGTTCCAAAGAAGCTGACAATAGGCAAACGGCTGGCCCAGTGTCTTCATCCTGCCCTGCCCAGTGGAGTCCACCGTAAGGCCCTGGAGACCTATGAGATTATCTTCAAGATCATTGGCCCCAAGAGGCTAGCCAAAGACCTCTTTCTTTATAGGTAATACTGTGTTACTGTATGCAGAGGCTAATTCATTAGCTGGACAGCTAGTATCAGTTCTTAATATTAACCAAACCTTTTTTTTTGTCCCTATAGCTCTGGGCTCTTCCCTTTACTCTCTAATGCGGCTATGTCTGTGAAGCCTGTGCTTCTGGGGCTCTATGAGATCTACTACCTACCCCTGGGGAAGACTCTGAAACCAGGCCTTCAGGGGCTACTCACTGGGGTACTGCCTGGTCTAGAGGAGGGCTCTGAGTACTATGAAAGGTAAGAAGTGCAGAAATAGAAAGAGAAAGATAAACACTTGGAAGCATTTTAATGTGTACATGCAGGCATTAGAACAGGCCAGTAGGTAAAGGCATTTTATAACATAATGTGGAAAGAAACGCATTGCGGATTGTGTAAATGATACATGCAATATGGGTCACTGTGAAATACAAGCTTCAAACCAAAGCTAGCCTTAGACATATGCCTCAGTTTTCACTCATCATGTCTAATTGGAGCTTCATTATGAGATCAAGATGGGCTCATAAACATGTCTGAGTGAGTGTTTGTTCAGAGAAAGCTCACTGAATATAAGAATGAATGAATCATGACACTTTCTGATTTCAGTAATATTGTTTGCTGACTTATTTAGAAACCCGAAAAACCTGAAACAGGAAATTTCATCAGGAAATTTGGCATAAGATTGTGTGGTTTGCTTAAGTTATCTTATAAGGGCCCTGAAGTCCTAACTGCCTGTACTTGGACAGAGCAAAAACAGTTTTAGTAAGTCTGTCAACAGCAACACTCTGTTGCTGCTATAAACAAGTATTTTCACTTTTCAGTGCCTTTTTTTTTTTTTTGTGGTCTGCATCACTCAGCAGTGCTGCAGTAAGAGGTGAATGCTTGTGTGTTCTTAACAAGCATATTGACAGTGGACTGCCTGTCTTTTTCATAGAACCAACACCTTGTTGGAGAAGGTGGCTGCAGCTGTAGAGCAGTCGGCCTTCTACAGTGCCTTGTGGGGAAGTATCCTGACCAGCCCTGCTGTGCGTCTCCCTGGGGTGTCCTTTGTTTTGCTTCACCTCAACCGCAAGCTCTCTATGGAGGACCAGCTTTACATCATTGGAAGTGACATTGAGCTCATGGTACATAATCACTACAGATATCCCTTGTCAAAATCTTTGAAGACACTCACATGCTGTTCTCAAAAGGAATTTGATACAGTTCTGGAATAGGGATGAATAATGTTAATTAACAGAGAAAAAGGAGTGCCACTGCACAGCGCTGGCAACTACAAGGTATAAATGTCAGTAGTAAGACATCATAGATATTTGTGGGGGGGCTGCACATTGAGCCTAAAATTCAGTTTATGATCAAAGAAACTTTATTAACATTGGCATGGGCCATGATCTACCACCAACACAGGTTTATCTTGTTTCACTGAGTGGGTTTGAGTGACTAACCCTTGTAACGCTGTGTGTTTTTTAGACAGCCTGACTAGTAGACTGTTTCTGTCCACCAGGTGGAGGCGGTCAGCACCTCAGTCCAGGACTCCAGTGTGTTGGTGCAGAGGAGTACCCTGGACCTGATTCTCTTCTGCTTCCCCTTTCATATGAGCCAGGTAAAGAAAGCTGTGCATATGAGGTGTGGCTAAAATTACACATAATTATTATATGATGATAATGCATCTATCTGTCTTGCTGGATTAAACTAACTCAATAATATGCATGTCTCATAAAGTTGATGCAGTATATCACCTAGTATCAGTATTAACATTAGCATTGATATGTTATTTTAGATGTCTACATGCCTCTCTTTGTCTCTTTTTGTGGATTTTCAAATGTACAGTATGTGTGTGATCATGATGACACCACTAAGGCAGCCAGCCACAGTGGTGAATTGTGCTGGATTCATGTTAAGTCCTTCGCCTCAAAACATTTCTGGACCTGTCAGCTCTGGGACACAGCTCTTATCTCATGTCTGCAGTCCTACCCCATAGTCTGGCTGCTTGTATTTGTGTGTGTATACTTACAGTATGTGTATGAGTAAATGGGACAGCAAAACTGTCAAAAATATTCTGGTCTGTTCTGTTGTGTTCAGGCTACTCGCCCTGACATGATCCGGATCCTGTCGGCAGCTTTACATGTGGTTTTGAGACGAGATATGTCCCTCAACCGCAGACTCTACGCCTGGCTGCTGGGTGTGAAATACACACACAGACACACTACTGGCGCGCAGTATCAGGGTTCTCATTCATCATGTGATTTCTGGAACGTTGTGTGATTAGAGAATTTTCCTGACAATAAAATAAGGGGGCTGGTTATATTACAGAAATATACCCTAAATTATTTCCCCATACATTTATTAACCTGTTGTAGAAAAGCATGAAACTATATAGTTCATGAAACAACTCTGACATATGCTACCAGAGTTATAGACATTTTACGTGGACCATGGTGAGAACTCTAATACATAGACGTTTATACATGTATTGTGATTTTATGTTATTGTCATGTATACTAGGTATTGTGTATATATATGTGCTTTGTTGCTGTGCTCCTTTTTCTGTTCTGTGGTGTGTATATACAGCAGGCTAGTATCACTTGTGGTCATTGTCTTTATTTTCTCTTGTTTGCAACTTACTGTGGATGATTGTGCTGGTAAGTGTCTGCATGGCTAAAGATGCACACTGAACTTATCAAGCTTACACTCTCATCCAAAGCAACATTAGAATGCCTCAAATGCCTGGATCACCAAAAAAAGATGAGGAAAATCGATGTGGAGTGGAGATCAGAGTCAGATTTAAAGATACACACAGCATGACTCTAATACCACATTCTTAAAGTCGAGTTTGTGGAAGGGATTTTTGTTTTTTTTGTTTTTCACTACTGAAATGTATATTTTATATTTACATTTTTGAAAACTGTTAGTCATACTGAATATTGATGGCCCCACCATTCTGAATCTGGTAGAGCTTCTATAGTGTGGAGCAGGCCAAGATTTTCTTTGCAGTACCATGGCTGTAACATGAGTGACTTTTAGCAATGGCCTGTAGGAGTTTACTCAAATAACGAAGAAGGAATCAGCTGGTAGAGATATTATGTCCAATCTCACAGGTTGATGAAAACTCACGCAGAGTGGAGCAAGTGCAGATTAAAATCTCTATTTCTCCCACTCCACATAAGTTCTTTGCCTCTTGCCTTGAGTTTGAATATGCTGAATACACATCTAAGTGTTCATGTAATTATAACTGTACATCTTTGTTCTGTGAAGGCTTTGACAACAATGGGGTGATAATAGGCCCCCGCAGCACTCGACGGAGCAACCCAGAGGAGCATGCTAGCCACTACTTCAACAATTTCTCTAAAGACATGCTGGTCCAGGTGAGGTTTCAAGTTGATAACACTTACAAGTGTAGGGGATTGTGTTAAGTTGGCTATTCTGGCCCTCCATTATTTGCTACAGTTTATCTGTCCACTTTAATCCTTCTCCTTGGGGGTGGCTGTGGCTCAGGAGGAAGAGTGTGTTGTCTCTTAACCGGAAGGTTAGCGGCTCAATTCCCAGTGGTGACACCGGTGTGTGAAATTGGGAGTGTGAATGGGTGAATGGCCAAATAGTATAAAAGCACTTTGAGTGTGCTGGGGTACATTCTCTCTGGGGTTTGCATATACTGCATGTCCTGCTGTCTTATTCTGTTCCCAGCTGTCTGTCCTTCCTTTGAAGACAGCTCCTAGTTTTCCCAGAGACTCCTAAACACACACAGATCCTACACTTGCATAGTCTGTACTGTCGTGCTCAAAACAACATGGGCCCTCCAGGCAGGACCAAGAGAGACCGAGAGGGGAAGTTCTGCTTTTAAAACTATTTTTATTTTATGTTTACTCCTCCGCCATCTGCTCTGAGAGAGTTAATGGAGCTCCTCACATTGGGACATGGTTGAAACTACAGAGGCCGTCTGTTCAAGCCTTACCACATTATGTGGCAGATGAAGCATGAAACACATGCAAATATGTGATTGGTTCTGCAATATATGATTGAAAGCAAATGCTCAAAAGCAAATCAGTGCTTTCTCTGCTGTGCTAAAGGTGGCTCTGGAGTTTACAGATATTTTCTCATCTTTACTGTAATGATGTGTGTTTATCTGTGGTTTCAGGCAATGGTGGGCATCTTGCAGGGCAAGGCCAGAGGTGGTGAAGAGGAGAGCATCCTCATGCACGACCTCAAGCCATTTCGCATCCTCATCAGTCTGCTGGACAAACCAGAGCTTGGTAAACATTTTATCAATATGTAGACACCAACAGCTAGTTATAACAGCCTTGGGCGGCTGTGGCTCAGGAGGTAGAGCGGGTCATCTCCTAACCAGAAGATTAGCAGTTTGATTCCCGGCTTGTCCAGTCCACATGTCAAAGTGTCCTTGAGCAAGACACTAAATCCCCAGTTGCTCCCAGTGATGACACTGGTGTGTGAATGTGTGAGTGCTTGTGAATGGCCAAATAGTGAGAGAGCGCTTTGAGTGTGCTGCAATGCATAGAAAAGTGCTGTACAAGTATAAGACCATTTACCATTTAATGTTGTCAGTATGGTAATAAGAATGGATGTCCCAAAAGTAGGCTGTGAACAGAATTTAATACGTAACCACTGAGTATTTAATCCCTGCTCTCTGTTTCTCTCTCCAGGTCCAGCAATCCTAGAGGATGTTTTGATTGAGGTATTTCGGACTCTACACACACAGTGCCGAACAGAGTTGGATCTCCAAAGCCAGAGTCCGTTCAGCAAAGATCACACACAGCTCAGCAGGTCAGTACAGTCCACCACTTGTCGTTCTGGGCTCTTTAGATATTGCATATGAACCCCATAATGAAAGTTTGGGTGTTGCATCATCATCATCATCATTGTCATCGTCAAATAAAACAAATGGGATATGTTAAAGCAAGTAAAATTAGACAACCTTTGAACAAATTACATAATGCATTAACTGATGTATGTATAGATGTCAGGTGTGCAAGAACAGCTTTACAACACAGTGTAAATGTTAATGGAATAATAAGATAAATTGCCACGTATAATGTACATGTGAAATTATACATTATTTGAAGTTTTTGTGTCAAAACTATGATAATTAGCTAACAGAAAATTTTGTGATAAATTATAATCACAAGACATGCAGTGACTCTCAAATGTTATAAATTGCAAAAAACATTTCATATGTTTACTTAAGAAATTTTGTCAGTACTAAACTAACATTTTTATTAATTTATTCATTCATGCATGTCTGATTTTTGCAGATGAAACAATTGAACTTTAGCCTTGTGATATTGTGACAATTTGAGTATTGTTGTGACGTGGCCTGCTGTAGTGTGTTGGGAACACCAAGGATTCCATGATGCTAATTTTGCCTTCTGAATTATTCTTAGCAAACTACGAGAAAACAAGAAGACAGCAGAATTGATTAAAACAGCGAATCTCCTGTTCAACTCCTTTGAGCCGTACTACATGTGGGACTACATTGCCCGCTGGTTTGAGGAGTGCTGCAGGTTTGTATGTTAAATTGACTAGTGATGGGCAGATGAAGCCTTATGGTTCCCTTTGGTTCTTTGTATTTTATTTGTACTGAAGAAAGATTGGAAGCTTTGGAGGGTTCAAACTAAATGAGTAGAGTGACATCTAGTGGCGTGTATATGGCCCTTAAAGGCAGGCCAGAGCATTACAATAAAAGTCCAAGAAACCTCAATATTAATACATTTGATACATGCATTTAATCAGAATACATTTGAAGTTATTTATTAAAAGTAGATGTTACTGTAAAAAAAAATACATTGTCCAAATAGTCTATATACTGTACTGTATTTTTTGGTGCTGCTAAATGTTATGTACTTCATGAGTAGTTAAGGCTTAGTGTCAATGACTCACAGTTTAGCTTCAGCATTAAAATTACACTATTACATTATTACATGGTACCTTGTGGAAATGGTCTCATACATAATACATACATAATATGATTATCTTTCTAGTGTATATTCTTCTTATTTCACTAATGTGCCAAGATGAGCTGCAAAAGTTTCAAAACTCTGATCCAGTGACACTCCTGAAGCACCAGTGGTGTTTGAATCTTCAGGGGTCATTAGGTTTCCTTCCTTTAGTACAAACTCTGACACAGTGTATTAAAACAATGTGCTTCACTGGAGTGAATCGAGCTTTGGAACCTGTGGAATATATGCCCATCTCTAGTGCACACATTATACATGGAAGTTGCTACTTTCTGCCAGTATCACCACACTAAGGTGTAAAAGCTGGGGCGACCTAAATGTGCCGTCATGTGTTGGAGACATTTTGAGACTATGATGTATTAAGCTGCTGTTTCCTCATCATACAGAGTAAGAGGAATGCTGCTGTTCTGCTAATGTTTCAGTACACTGTTGCTGAAGCATTGCTCAGTTGGAACAGGGGGCCTAATGTGTGCTAACAGAGCTCTCCCAGTGCCACCATTACACACAGACCAGTCCTTTGATTTTGACACCAAACTATTCACAGATTTGCATGATCATCACTGATACTAACTGCTAACCATAATGCTTTATGCAGTATAGTTACAAATATGCATCCGTTGCAGGAGAACGGTGAACAGCAGCAGACGTGCACAGCAGTGCTCTGGGAACATAGATCCTACAGAACTCTCTCTGGTGGAGTTCTGCCAGCTGGTCGATTTCCTGCTGGATATTGTTTCCTTGGTGAGACTTTTCTTTCTGTCATTCTTTCTCTCTTTTTCTTTCTTTTTTTATGTCTTATTTTTTTTGCTTCTTTCTTGCTGGCTTCTTATTTCAGTCCTTCTGTGCAGTATGTCTATTTCCAGTTTTCTATATAATCCTCTTTTTGTTTGCATTTCACTCCACTGATTTTCTTTTACTGTTACATTTTTAAACTACTTCTTTCTTGGATTTTAGTTTTTCTGAATGTTTATTCTTTTTGCTAGGTTCTTTCTCTCCTCTCTTCTGCAGTCCCTTGTCTCCTTCCCCTGCGTGAGCTTTCCATTTCATCCTTGGTTTCTCACTCCCTCTGTCTTGGCTCACAGACCACCTTCTTACAGTAAATCCAGTATGCTGCCTTGTAGTACCACAAACATTTACAGTTTGGTGTCCATGTTGTCACATTGATTATTCAGCTCCATTTCCTGGCTCAGGCTGGGGATATTATGGCCACCATTAGGGTGTTTGAGTGTGCACCTTCTCCCTGTTCTGTGTATGATGTGTGTGCTGACTTCACACAGGCCTGTGTGTTTTGTGTCCTTGACAAACACATTGTTTGCATCCTCTTAGAAATGTGCTTGTCTCTACAGTATTTCCAATCTGAGTCGCTTGGAAATCCCCCCTCTTTTATTACCCTGTTTAAATGCTTATGTTATGTGTGTGTGTAGAAGAAAGAGAGGACCTTGTGGTTGGTGATATTGTAAATGAGAGAATGAAAGTATGAGGGTAGTGTGTCTGTTTCTACAAACAAAGTGTTTGGCCTGTGCTCTGCTTGCTCCTGTCTGTTCAAACTATTTGCTCTTTCTCCCTGAAGCCTACTAGAAGCATGAGGGTAATCTGCCAGGTAAAGTACTGCTCTTTCCTGCTTTTTCACCTCACCCTGCTTCACTGAGGCTATGATAACATTTCTGCAATGTCCATCCTGCCAGCAGCCCTCAGGCCATCTTTTTTCCTGTCCTGCTTTAATAGATCGTTTCAGAATGATTGATTTATTGACCCATTTTAATGCCAAAAATTAACATAATCCTAAAGGAGAAGTGGGAATAAATGTCATTTTAATGAACAGTCATTAAATGTGGTGATTACTTATTCTGGCTGTCTGGTGTGGATCTTGTGAAAATGAAATCTCTGCCCAGTGTGTGTGTGTGACTTGTGTTAAGCATGCATGCAGTTATATGTTATTACAGTGCTCATGTAGTTGCCAAAAATATAAATCGGTTTTATTGCTCTTTTGTCATTATGTTTTGCTCATTTTTTGTTATTAAAACACTATTTGCTGTTGGGTCAAAATACTTTTATTACTGAAAATTAAAAAAAAGCAAAAGGTCTGTAAATCCAATGTATTTATTGATCTATGCATTAAATGCATACATTGGATCTAAATATGAAGAGCCTTATGTTAGTCAAGGAAAAATAATAAAAAGAAATGTTAATACTTAAGGAAAAAACAACAAAAATCAGTGGGAGAGGAGGCACTGGGGGTCTCACAATAGTCTGTTTAATAGTAAGAGTGTGTAGAAAGAAATAAAGATATTTTTGTTCTGATAAGTCAGTAGTCCTTCCACACCTCAACTTGTTTTTTGTGTCTCAATTTTTTTTTTGTGTCCCCCCCCCCCCAACATTTCAAGGAGACGTACATAGAGATCCAGACAGAGCATTTGCCTCAGTTGCTGTTGCGGATGGTGGCAGCTCTGACCTGTCACTTGCAGGCCCTGAGCCTTGGGGAGCTCACCCAATGCCTTCGTCTCTGCTCCAAGATTCTTAGCAAAGTGCAGCCACCGCTGGTGTCCCCTCTGGCCCTGCCCTCGGGTCCCCACTCTCATGGCCTCTCCAGCTCCACTGGCAACCTCTCGAACTCGGCAAGGGATCAGAGTAGAGACATGGAGGACAAAAGGGTGAGGAAAAGTGTTAATGTCAGAAATAGTTATTTGATCAGAAACAGTTGTTAATTGGGAAGTAATACTCTAATTATCATGGTTTTATTGCCACTGCAGTCATAAGATCAGAGTATATGTATACTTTAATTGATCAATCAGAAAAGAACATTGTTACAAGCTACAGACCAAAAGTGATGCCTCTGCTATGCCAAAGTCAGACTGTGAAAAGCACTGCCAGCTGATACTTCTATTCTGTCTTTGATGCCTTAAACAGTCTTTTGATAAAAACATAGGCCCTCTTGCTTCCCCAGTCAGATCAAATCCCAGTTTGGGCCACTCGACCCACTTCCCCTACAAGTTACTGCCCAACAGCAGTTCATGCTTTGATAGTGCGCCCTGGTCCCTGAACAGGGCCCCTTCTAGCTCGTGTCCTCCTGCCAGCTCAACTGCCCTGTGCTGCATTTGGCTGGGTGGCCCTGCCATCCCATACTCTCTCAACACATGGTATTTGAAGACTTGGTCAGAACAAATGTTTTGCTTGACAGTCCATGTCCTCTTAGTCCCTGTCCAGCAGCCTTGTTGTTTAAGTGTTTTAGAGCTCAGTGATGTACGATTAAAAGTTCAGTCAGTCAGTCCCATGCCCAGCGATGGATAGGGGCTGATTAGACTGAGGTAGGCCCTTGAGGGGGCAAGTGGAAAGACAGAAGATGGCTAACCAACAGCTGAGCCTAGCTTGCTTTTCCTCTCTGAGGAAGAAAAGGGATGAACTAGCTTGTGATGACTGCTGGGTGAGCCACATCCAACAGAGTGGAAAACAACCTGCATACATCTAATGAACTGAACATATAGGGAGCAGCTAGTGTGCCATCTGAGTTCAGGCTTCAGAATGTGCATGTTTCCTCAAAAGTTCATCCAAGGAAGCCAAACGCTGACTGTGACAAAGAAGTGTTAGAACTTGAGTCTGTCTGTCTGCAGCAGGATATGGGTCTGGTGTGCAGTTCAGTACACACAAGTGTCTCAGGTCAGACACATCAGCTGTGTATACAGCATCACTATATGTTGCATTGTATGTATGGGATGTGGGAAAGTCTTCTGTCACAGAAACTGTAATGACATAATACATTTTCTGAATATTTAATGAAGAAGGTGTTTATAGATTCAATTCTAGATATGGAATATCTGTTTTGGGCAGAAATAAATACTTGACAATTTAAGCGACTTCATCAAATTGAAGCTGGATGTAAAGATCCTGTAAATCCAGTACTGTCATAAACCAGTCCTGTTTATTTATTGGGCTGCAGTGATCTTATACAATCAGACATTAAAGGGATAGATATTTTTTGGTATAAACGTTATCGCAAAATCTCTTTGAGGAGTCTTAGCAAGTTCTAGGCCTATGTTTTAGATATTGCAGGTGGGGCTAATTGGTTGGTTCTTTAGACTTTTTTCAGATCAAACTATTTTATATGATATTGGAGAAGAGCACACGTGTTGTTAAATGTCTTAATAAAGGTTGCATTCCATTAAGGTGAATATTTCTAGTCCACAGTATTACATATGCTGGCTCACTGGGCTGACTCTGTGAGGCACTTTATTGAACTGTCCCTTCATTTTGGTTTTTAGTTAACACCTGTGCTTTTCATACAATGACATGTGAAAATCCCTGCTGTGAAAATGTCTACAATTGTACATTTAAAGCATCTACACACCTGTCATTCACACACAGACACATACACACTTGTTTTTTTCCTTATAATGCTTGATTAGATTATTATTACCTCCACCATGGGTGAGTGTAATGTTTTGCCGGCATTTGTTTGTTAACAGCATAACTCAAAAAGAAGTGAATGGGTTTAGATGAAATTTTTAGTTTTTTTTTTTTTTTTTTTAAACAAGACTGATTATCTATTTTCATGATGGTAAGACATCTCTTTTATCTTACCAGTTAATATACCACATACTGTTAAGTATATCTTTTGTATATAATGTTTGTTGTTGTTGCTCTATTTGTACCCACAGAGTAAAGACTCAGTCTTTTTTGGTAATGAAAAGGTAAGGTCACATTCATAACATAGACGAGTATCATGGAAAGATTATCATGGTCATACTTACAACGTAAGAGATACATGTATGGAACTGTCCCAGCTTGCTGTATTTTCAGTGCACACTTTGTTTTGTCTTCTTTGTCTCTTTCACTCTGAAATTGACCCTTATCATCTGTCCTGCTTTCTCTTCCTGCAGACCCTTCCGGCTTCTCTGGAGCCACCTGCCAGTGGAGAAGTGTTTGAGGATGGAGAAAATCCCCCCAGCAGTCGCTCCTCAGAAAGTGGCTTTACAGACTTTGTCCAGTACCAGGAAGATGGCCCAGAGGAAACAGGGCGAACTCTTCATCCCAACCCAGTGGTCAAAACAGGCCATCGCTCCTCAGGCCCATCTCAGACCAAACCTCTGGACAAACCAGTCATGCAGTGCTGCCTGGAACACTTCCAGCAGTTTCTGTCATGCCTCATCCCTTTGTACATTATGCCTGTGCATGTTGACAGACCTGAGGGTGAAAGAAATGGGGTCATGCAGTCAGGGCCCCTGGTTTCTGAGGGCTCCCAGCACAGTGATCATATTGAGTCATGGTCTGGTTCTGGGTTGATTCCAAGGGAGCGTGTTGCTGCCTTCACTGCTGCTTGCCAGCTCTTCCTAGAATGCTCCAGTTTCCCTGTCTACATTGCAGAGGGGAACCTCAAGTCCTCACCCACACAGGAAGAGCAGTTTGGTAAGAGCCAAAATCACAGCCAGCACTTAACAGTATGTGCATTGTTATTGTAGCACTAGGAGTGAAAAACTGAATATTTTGAGAAAAGGAGGGTGTGTGGACACTTTTTTTTTAAATTAAAGACAGTGTTGACTCCTGTATATCTCTCCTATATACATACAGACAGTGAGCAGGTTCGTTTGCCAGTGTGGCTGCAGCCCCTGATGGATGCATGCTGCCTAGCCAGTGATTTCAGCCTACAGGGCGTGGCAATCTCCCTGCTCATGGACCTAGTGGGGCTCACCCAGTCGGTTGCCATGGTGACTGCTGAGAGCGTGGCATCTAATGGCAGCTCAGAGTCTACCCAGCCTATGAGCCCCAGCCAGGGTCGATTAGCCGTTGTCATCAGGCCACCACTCACTCAGGGAATTCTAAAGTACATCGCAGACAAGACAGATTTCTTTAAGGTAGAGATCTTGTTTCAGGTTGCACTGGAGGTATTTATGGTCTTCATTTTTTGTTTTTTATTAAGTCTCTAATCTTTTGCTCAGAGTGTGGCTCTAATCCTGTGGGACCAGCTGAGTGAAGGAACACCACAGCACCATCAACGCAGTGTTGAGCTCTTCTACCAGCTCCACAACCTGGTGCCTTCCTCCAGTATTTGTGAGGATGTGATCAGCCAGCAACTCATGCACAGAGACAAGGTCTGTACTGTCCACACATGACCTCTCAGGCCACATGCACATAGACCCAGTTTCTCATCCTGTCTGTAGACACAAGAACTCTCCATGCTGAAGCACACTTTTCTTGCAGAGAATTCGGCTGGAGGCCCATGTGAAGTTCTCTGTTTTATGGCATTTAACACGAGATCTGAACATTACCAAGGCTGCTCCTTTCAGTCGCACATTTGATAGGTGGGTTTGTACCTGTTGACGATGGTGCAGAAGTTGTTTGACGTAGTCTAATATTAATGCAGCTGTATTTTACATCAGTTGCTTTTTCTTAGATTTTTTGTTCATTACATTTTTCTTTGTCTTTCTGTTATTCATGCTACTGTACTATCTTCACTTCTCACTTTGTCTTTCAGATCTCTCTTCATTATGCTAGACAGTCTTAGTTATTGGGATCCATGTACTAGTGCAGTTGGCCGGGCTTGGTTGAATCAGGTCCTTCAGAGACATGACATCGCTCGGGTCCTAGAGCCTCTGCTCCTCCTCTTGCTACACCCAAAGACACACAGAGTGTCCATTCAGAGGGTACAAGCCCAACGTCACTGGTCTCGTGCCTTTCCTGACCTGTCTGGCCAGGAACCATCAAAACCCATGTATACCAGGGACTCGGGCTTCTCAGACAGTGAGCACTGGCTGTTAATTAATCTGTTTTCTAATAATCACTGTCTCTTTTATCTGGTTTATTTCCTTTTTATGGTTTATGGTTTTTTAAATCTATTTTTCTCTTTCTTTCAAATCCAAGGGGAGAGGGTAGCACAAGAGGAGCTCCCAGGCCTGGCAATGTGTGACATTGAGCCATTCTGTCTGACTGTCAACCCCTTAAGTGACAGCCTGTCCTTACTGAGCCTGAGCAGTGAGAATTTGCAACTGGCTGTTGAATATCAGCCTAGTGACCAACACGGGGAGCCCCAGAGCTCAGAATCTAGTGGTTCTCATTCATCTACAATGGAAAATGGCAGCTTTGAGGAACCAGAGGGTGTTAACAACACAGTCACTGGATCAGAGCAACAGCCTGGTTCCTCAGATGACATGTCTGAGAACTCTGTAGAAGAGGTTGTGTCTTGTGTTATAAAAGAGCTAATGGACAAGGTTTTAAATTTAGTAGATGAGGGACCTCTTGAGATCTCATCTCCACCTGAAAACTGGCCCCAGACAGACACAGACAGCACTTCTTCAGATACGTCCACTGGTCTCCGTCTTGACTCTGGTCTTCCTCCTGATTCTAACCAGACTGTGCCAGAAATGCTGGCTGGACACACAGTGGAGTTCCTGTCTGTCATACCAGCTGAGGGAGAGGGTATCACCCGTCATAGTTCATCTCCTTCTATTGTCACATTGCCAGACAGTTCAGACCCAGCCACCTCAGACCACAACCTACGGGTGGACAATCCCCAGGCCTGCAAACGTAGCCATAGCAGCACACAGCTCAGCCTTAAAGGGAAGATCATGGAGAAGCTGGCAGACAAGTCTCCAGGGGCAAAGCCAAAGATCAAGAAGGCCAAGAGGAAAGAGGAGGAGAGGCAGAGAAAGGCAGCGAATCAAGCTGAGAAATTGCAGCCACCCGGTATTTTCTTTGGGGACAGCCTAGATCTGGAGAACTGGTACAGCTGTGGGGAAGGTGAAGTATCAGAGATTGAGAGTGACATTGGCTCACCCAGCGGGGGCTCTGGTGGTACTGTTGGGGGTGTTGGTGTCACAAGACGCAGATCATCCTCTGGCCCAGCTCGTTTTAACATCCACCCTCTCTATCAGCATGTCCTGCTCTATCTCCAGATGTATGACTCCTCACGGGCCCTCCATGCCCTGTCAGCCATCGCAGCCATGCTGAGGGCTGCTCCCTCAGGGTTTGTAAGTGCCATTTCCACAACCAGTATCAACAATACCTACACTCCACAGCTTTCTTTGCTCCAAAACCTCTTAGCCCGTCACAGGGTCTCTGTCATGGGCAAAGACTTTTACTGCCCCATCCCCCAGGACTCCCACTCCCACTCATTCCGCAGCGCCATGTACCTGGAGATCATCATCTCACTCTGTCTCTATTTCCTAAGAAGCTATTACTCTGCCCATGTGGCAGCAGGCCCTCAGGACTTGGCAGGAAACCGGGCAATGCAGCTGACCAGTGTGGAGGTCTTAACTCTCCTCTTCAGTGAGCTAGCAAAAGTCACAGGTGGCTCAGCTAAGGGCTTTGCTAGTTTCATCAGCGATGTCCTCTCCAAGTGTAAAGTTCAGAAGGTGGTTCTCCATTGCCTGCTCTCCTCCATATTCAGTGCTCAGAAGTGGCATGAGCAGCGGGTGGCAGGGATTAATGTGGCCACAGTGGAAGAGGGTCTGTCAGAGGACAGTGTGATCAACCTGTCAGAGGACCAGATAGACAGCTGTAGTGCTGTCCAGTCACAGTTGCTAAGACTGCTGCAGAGCCTTGTTGTACTTGAGCACAGAGTCCTTGTGCCAGCTGATGAAGGAGGAGAAGGAGGACCTGTGGGGGGAGTGGTAGGAGGTGGAGGGGCAGGAAGTGGTGCTGGGGCAGGGTTTGAGATCCTGGGTGGGGAAGTGGAGCATGTCAACCCTCAGCAGCCAATGACATCACTGCAATACCTCCATGGACAGCCTATCACTGCACAGGGTATGTTCCTTTGTGCAGTGATCAGAGCACTGCATCAGCACCATGCATGTAAGATGCACCCCCAGTGGATAGGCCTCATCACAGCCACCCTGCCGTACATGGGCAGGGTGCTGAGAAGAGTGGTAGCCTCAGTCACTCTGCAGCTGTGCAGGAACCTGGACAATCTTCTTCAGCAGTACCGCTATGAAACGGGAATGACTGACAACAGGTATCAACATGGGTCATATTGATATAACATCATTATGATAGCTTTAGTCACCTGCACTGTATAATGCAAATATATGTTAGGGTTTGCTCACCAGATGGCACTTGCAGTTGTCATATATGGCATCCATCTTTCTGATGTATGAATTGTACTTAAAACATGACATTGCAAATTACTGTGGTGACATGTTTACAATTATTAATTGAAATATATGCACTGATTGAACTCCGTACTCTCCCTCTATTATCTAGACCCCAGTGGATGGCATTATGCATCCCTCCTGACCTGATTCTGACGGTGCTGGAGGGGGTGACTGCCATCATTCATTACTGCCTGCTGGATCCCACCTCCCAGTACCACCAGGTGAGGGCACTGAAAACCTAGCCATTTAATACTTGCCTATAGAAACTGTGAATACAGGCCTTGTTTGTTTTATTTTAGACAATTGTGTCCAACGTTGAGCAGTTTTTGAAGATAATGTATATTGAGATATTCCTGACATTTTTTGATTCATTGCACAGTACACTTATTTACATAATGTAGTATTGTACCATAAGTAATTGACTGTTTTGTTACATATTTTTCCTCAGTTACAAGTGAGTGTTGACCAGAAGCACTTGGCTGAGGCTCGTTCTGGCATCCTCTCTATCCTTCACACCATCATGTCTTCTGTCACACTGCTGTGGAGCATCCTCCACCAAGCTGACAACACTGACAGGCCAGCTGCTGCTTCAGCAGCCTCTACTTCCAACATCAACCTGGGCTCCACTAAGGTACACAAACAGGGCAATGCTTGACTGAACATGCTAGACAAGAGAAGAGGTGTTTGTAAATTAGCCTCTTTTAACCACCAAAATCGTATAGCACATGTGATGAAGTCAAATTTGTGTTTTGGGTGTAAACTAAAATGTCAACAGCACATAGGTTTTAGACCAGAAAACTGTGTTTTGCATATACATTGTACTGGAAAACAGCCCCAGAGCATAGGTACTGTGTGCACAATAACTGCATTACTGGTCTCATCAGTAAGAACTCAATGTCAGTACTGACAATAAAGGATATTTTTAGCAATTATAGCTCTGTATTTTTCTGCAAATTGTTATTAGCTCTGTCTTGATGGTATTAGTTTTTCCGGAGGTGGGTTAGTAATGTAATTTCACTGAGATAATACAGTGATTTTTATCCTGTATGGAACATAATGTGCAAGTATTATAGGGCCTTTGTCCCTGAAGGAGGAGCAATTAAAGGCCAGACAACCTACATAACTTAATTTTGCAGCTAACTCTCATTTTTATCAATGTGAGCATTGTATATTAGGCCCTGTACACAGAAATTAACAACAGCTCAATTTCAATGCAGTTAATGTTTTATTTTGTGTCAGTTAACAGGACAAGTGTGGCTGAGATAGATATGTGGTAATGTAATGTCTTTAGAATTTAAGGAAGTAGTAGTGTGTGATTAATTTATTGCATTGTCTTCTTATTTTAGCACTATATATACTGCAGCTATATTGATAGTGGCTGAAATTGTTTACATAGTAAGTTATCAGCTATTTATGTCTAACCTAAGATCATCACTTGAAGAGCCCATGGCATTCCCATTTCCAGACATTCATTCATTCATTTTCTACCGTTTGTTCCCTGAGCGGGGTCACGGGGGGGGCCGGAGCCAATCCCGGCCGGCAATCGGGCGAAGGCGGGGTACACCCTGGACAGGTCGCCAATCCATCGCAGGGCTAACACATAGACAAACAACCACACACACGCACATGCACTCCTATGGGCAATTTAGAGACACCAATCAACCTAAGCTGCATGTCTTTGGACTGTGGGAGGAAGCCGGAGTACCCGGAAAGAACCCACGCAAGCACGGGGAGAACATGCAAACTCCAATTCCAGACATTTAATGTTTATTTTTGGGTGCTTCTAGATTAGCTTTGGACCCATCATAACTCCAAATAATCTGTAATTATTTCAGAATGATAAAGCCCGATGAGAGCTTCCTCCTGAAAATGAGAGGGTAGTTCATGAATGTGTTGCTGGTCAGGAAGCTACATAATCCATAAACAAAAAACACTAACAAGCTCTGTTTTCGACAATGACAATACCTCACATCCTACCTGACATGTCTGAACAAGGATATGCAAGTGGACAGCATGATACACTACAACAGCATTAATTAATATGAATTCCTCCTCCATAGATACTGTAGGTAAACAATGGTATATGTACCAATGAAAAGAGATGTGTAACACTCAAACAAAGCAGGTAATTGAGAAACCCCATATTTTAACTGGCATAATCCAGACATAGCAACTTTTCCAGCCTTGCAACAATTCTATCTACAGAAACAAGACATGCAACATGTGTGCGTTTGTTTGTTTGTTTGTTTTTTACTTAACATTAAGTTCCAAAGAGTAGAGGAAACATCGGTCCCTTTCACCCTTGGAGGTACTTGATAAATCCAACCTGTGATCGCTGCATCTTCCCCCACAAATCCCTCGCATTACAGGTGACCACATACATTCCCAAAATAGTAAAATTAATTCCAACAGGTAGCCTTGCACCAAAAATAACATCTTGGATCATTAATCCGCTGGTTAACCAGCAACACATCACATGCGACAGACATACTGGCCTCAAGCAGCCAAAACAAACAGGTACTGTGCTCTGGGGGAATCCAGTGTTGATGAGCTGATCATTCACCGCCACATGGGGCTTCACTGGCCAGCTGCTTATAGGTTAGACCCGGGCAGGTAAAACAGCGAGACCCTGTACAGGAACATTCCCAGATATCCAGTAACCTCAGGTCCTGTATTTTTCTCCACATCCTCTAGTCACAGTGCAGCAGAAGGAGGTGAAATATATCCACAAAACTGCATGCAGTCAAAAAAAATCAAGCTTTTAAAATGACACCGGTATCAGGCAAGCTCACATGAACATGCAACTGCCTGGAGATAATGATCATTCAAGGAACTCTGTAAACTATGAAACATCGGGAAAAAGTTTTAAAAAGGGGGGGGGGGGGGGGGGAGTCTCGCCAGTGAGAGTTTGTGAGACTTGTATAGACCGAGTTGCTTCTGCATAGAAGTACAACAACATAGGTACACCCTGTTTTTTGAGCTTTCAGTCATGTTTAAGATGATAATTCACCATTTTGACATTGTAGATAAGTTGGAAAACACAGGAAAGCATGACATAGGCTCTTTAAATCTTTTCTACAGAACCTCCGGCAGCAAATCCTGGAGCTACTGGGTCCAATCTCCATGAATCATGGTGCTCACTTCATGGCAGCAATTGCCTATGTTTGGAATGAGAGGAAACAGGTCAAGACTCCAGTCAGAAATAAGGTGGGTGCCCACCACTTTAATCTTTTTTTGCATTGATTGTCTTGATGCTTGCAGTTAAAGCCATTGAAATCTTTTCATGTACGTATAGTCATTGCTGTTAGTATGTTGTGGTAAAATGTCTGTAAAGATGGCAGAGGAAACATAGCAGCAGCAGTGCATTTAATTTCAACCTGTCATTTAGCATTGTTCATAGAAGAGATGCCTTAAAACAGTTTTTTTTTTGCACTTATTGCCAATAAAAAAAAATTCTATAACCCCGTCTCTGTCCAGCTAGTAGGTTTCTAAAAACACATACTGTTCAACATGATATAAACATGCTATCCAAGACTCAAGTGTAAAGATACAAGTTAGAGTGAAATTGTTATGCAGTCTCCACATGGGACCAGGGGACATTGCCCCCAAAATATGAAAATTTGCCCCATTACCCCCCGTCCCATGTTTGTCATGACCAATCCTCAAATGTTGACTAAAGATATAAGAAAATACATGTTCTACACCCAAAAGTGTTGATGTAAACCAACCCCGAACGTACAGGACTCCTGTTTCATGTTGGTCAACATGTCAACCAGCATCAGTGAACATATCAGCTGTGTGCGAGGCTCATGACGGGTCAGCATGTGACAAAGTTTTGGCCATGCCCCATGGAGATTATGTCCTGGATGATCTGAGTTTCATTCTGTCACTTGTCTTTTGTAAACGGGGTCTAACAGTAAGCGGTGTCACTGTGAACAGTTTGTGTTATTAATGTTTTTGTCAAAATGTGGAAATTCTGTGCACCAGATAGGTTACTGCCTGTTGATTTATTTATTTAAAGAGCTGATGACCTTAACTTTAAGGGCTTAGGTATGAGTTTATACTGTACTGTAGCTATAAATATTTACATCCAGCCTATATATTGATATATTGGCCTCAATCCAAACCTTAGTTGTGATATTTTAAATGTGTATGCCCTGTATGAATGTAGCCAAAATGAGGAGGAGTATCTGAATAAGTTGGCTTTTATTAGCTCTTTTATACAGAGTGAGGGGCTTACTAGTGTATATATCGTAGGTGATATGAATGCAGATATCTCAGACAAGAACTCTGTTCTCATGAAGCATATGGTGCATTTTTGTGCTGATAAAAAACTGGTTCTGTCTAGTAGTGAGCTTTTGCCAAGGCAGAGCTATACATATAGAAGTGAGGCCTAGCATACAACATAGACCACTGTATTTCGACAGCTGATGCACATGCTGCTTTGGAGAATATTGCCATTCTATATAACATGTCTATTTCTGACCACATTCCTGTAAAGATGGCCGTTAGATTTGATTTTACACCTATTTTAATTCAGACTAACCAAAAGCATGAAAGGTTGGATTGGTCCATTCTTTCTGCAGAGGATCTTGCCTGCTACTGTTCTGACACTGATGAACTGATATGTGATATTACTGTACCTAGAGAGGCTGTGATATGTACGGACTTTAACTGTACTGCTGTTAGCCACAAGGCTGATATTTCTTGTATGTATTCTAATATTATTCGGGTTGTATAGCTGTTGATAGAAGCTAATATGCCTTATTATAAAAGAAAACAGAAGTGCAAAATTAAACCTGGGTGGAGCACTTATGTGGCTGAATATCAGGCTAGAGCCCATGATGCAACAACTTCCTGGGCCCTTGCTGGTAATCCCAGACATGGGCCTATATTTGAGCTTAAAAAGTGTACAAGCGCAGAATATAAGTATGCTATAAGATTTATTATGAAAAATGAACAAAAGCTGAGTTCTGACTCTGTGGCTGAAAAACTCCTAAGGAATAATATGAAATTGTTCTGGAAAGATGTTAAATGTATTAACAGCAGTAGACTTTCTCTACCCCATGCTATTGATGGAGTTTCTGGCCTGGATAAGACAGTTGAGCTTTGGCGACGCCGCTACTGCGATCTATTTAATTGTGCCCCTAGTGAAACTTTGTCTATAGGTAGGGTTGACTTTGTTGACTCTATTAAAACATATGAGGGTTTTCAAGCAATACCCAATTTGTCAGCTAATAAGTCTACTGGGATGGACCGCATTTCTGTAGAATGTCTTAAGTATGCTAGTTTGAGGTTGGCACCTCTTTTAGCTATATGCTCTACTTCTTTTGTTATGCATGGGTTATGCCTGACCCTTTGATGTCAGTGCTTTTAGTCCCAGTGGTGAAGGATAAAGCAGGAAAGGTGGGCAGCTCAGATAATTATAGACCCATTGCACTTGCTAATATACTTCCTAAAGTTGTTCAAGACATTCTCTTGAGTAGGTTTCATAATCTTATTGGCTTTACTGATGATCAATTTGGGTTTAAAGCCAATCATGGCATTGATATGTGTATTTTTGCTTTGAAAGAACTAGTTAGTAAATATAAAAGTAAAAATTCTACCGTATTTATGTGTTTTTTTTAGATCCTTCTAAAGCTTCACAGGAAGTTATTCCAGAAATTGTGTGACGCTGGAGTGCCTAAATATATAGTGAGATGTTTGTTATATTGGTATGCCCACCAGACTATGTGTGTCTAATGGGATAATTGTATATCTGCACCCTTTCAGACCTGTAACGGGGTAAGAAAAGGTAGTCTGTTGTCCCCGATTCTGTTTAATTTTTATATGAATGGTCTCTCTAAGGAGCTAAATATGTGTAAAACAGGATGTATGGTTGGAGGTATAATAGTGAATCATTTAATGTATGCACATGATCTGGTGATCTTTAGTCCCAGCTCAGCAGGTCTTCAGCAACTCTTGAATGTATGTTCTTTGTTCACGT